TGGTAGAGAAGATAATTCTGTATCTAGAATATATTGCAGGCTACATGGGAATGCCAAAGAGGAGTAAGGATTCTAAGAGGGAATGAGCACTTCCAGTTGAAATGATCAAAGAAAACTTCCTGGAGGAGATAGTCAGGAGTCTTGAAGAGAAGTATTTCAATGGAGTTAAGTATCAAAGGGTGGAGTTAGTAGAGAGGATTTCTCAGTGGGCTGAAGAGAGTGGGGGAGGGGTAGAAAAGAAAGAGTGTGAACAAAAGCAAAGAGATGGAAAAAGGCAGAATTTGAGGGGAATAAGAAATATATAATAGAGATCATGTGGTAGGATTAATGACAGACATTGAAAAACCAGGTTAGGCTAAATTGTAGAAAAACCTGAATCTAAATTTTAGAACTTTGTACTATATGCCATTGAATAAAATACAGTGACACATTGAGAGTAATTTTGACAGAAATAATGCAGGTGATAGTCTGAAGTGAGGTAGAAGAAATTGTACTAGAGTAGAAGTAAAAGATGGGATATTTTTTCAAAGGAGGAACTGATAGGATTGTGGAAGTGTGAATAACAGAGGAAGAAGTTAAAGAAGACAGCAATTTTGAATTTGGATGGTGGGAGAATGGCAGGATACTGAAATAAATTCAGGAAAACAAGTCTTACAGACAAAGGATGAATACAATTTTGGATATATTGCACTCTGAAGTGACAACTAAGACTTCCAAGTGGAATTATCCAATAAACTTTTGGATATGTGAAGGTGGTGATTGGAAACTCTTGGAGTAGATGAGATTCCCAAAGGTTGAAATATGAAGAAAGGAGATAATGTCAAGGACAGAATTTCATGTTTATGGTTAGAGAATGGAAATAAGAGAGATAAACTGTCAGAAGTAGACAGTCAACAGTGGGGCTGTCCAGAAGTGGGGAGTGTGGACATCCTTGTCTTATTCCCAAGACTTACTTGTTTCCAAACTTAGGGGAAGAATTTAGTTTTTCATCATTAACTATGATGTTTACTGTAGGATTTTTTTGTAGATGCTTTTTATAAGGTTAAGAACGTACCCTTCTGTTGCTAGTTTACTGAGAGATTTTACCATGAATGAATGTTTCAAAATGGTTTTTCTGCATTTATTAAGATGATTGCGTGGTTTTCTTTTTTAGACTTCAATATGATGAATTGCATTGATTGTTTTTGTAATGTTGAACCAACTCTGCATGATAATGATATATTATCCTTTTTTAAAAATCACTAAATTCTATTTGCTAATACATATTTTTGTAATGTCTTTGATTTTGGTGTCAGGGTAATGCTGGCATCCAACAATGAGTTAGACAGTGCTCCCTGTTCTTTATCTTCTGGAAGAATTTGTGAAGGATTGATATTACCTCTTCCTTAAATATTTGGTGAAATTCCAAGTGAAAGCAACTTGGCTTAGAATTTTCTTTGTAAGAAGGTTTTTACCCATGAGTAGACTATAGGGCTATTCAGAGTATCTGTTTTCGTTAATAAATTTTGCTGGTTTGTGTCTTTCAAACTTTGCCTGTTTATCATCTAAATTATCCAAGTTTCTTACATCTAGGTGTGCATATTATTAACCTTTTAATGCCTGTAGGGTCTAATGTAATATTTCCCTTTTATTTCATTTACATCTATTTGGTTTCTACTTGTCCCATCTGCTCTTTGTTTTATATTTCTCTTCTCTTCTGCTTTCTTTTAGATTAGTATTTTTTATGAGTCCAAAAAGTGAATATTATTTGGGATAGAAAGAAGGCAAGATGTGACCTGTCATGTCTCATAACTGAAATTCTCTTAAAGTGAGATGCATGATCATAAGCTGAGGGTGGGGAAATGTTGGCATCTTAAATAGAGAAGGTTAGAATATTTGTCTCGGGAGGCATCCTGAGAAAATAGTAAGAGATTAACATGTGGATTTCTAAGCATTAGGAAGGGCCAGCTCAAGTAAACATGTAACTGATAATTCTATCTTGATAGCTAGGCTATGCTAGGCTCAAATCTGAAGACATGTATCAAAATAGGCCTTAAGAACTGGAAAATTTGGAGAAAATATAATGGAATTACGGTGGTGCTTAGGACATTTCACATTTCAGTCATAATAAAATCCATTCATGTTTCCCTTAATAAGTTTGAAGATATCAGCATCTTTTAGACAATCATATTTTGCCAGGAGTCTTGAGCTTTGACTTAACTGGCAGCTCTCTTTTCACAATCTTGAACACTCAGCAGTTTACGTAGGGTAGACGTGCTCGAGACGTGTTCACTTCAGGGAGACCTGAGTGAAGTTTCTCCCATTTTCTCATAGCTAAGTTATCTGAAAAGCCAGAAAAAGGTTGAATAGCTGAAAGAAATTGTTATTGGTGAGTGGAAATAGAAGGAATGGAAAGTTGGCGGGCCAGCTGGATATTCTGTGGGACTAACGGGTTTGGAAACATACTTGCAAGACCAGGATAATTATTCTACTCTTCAAACTGATTGCATTTTGTGTTGTATTCTTTTGGTTTGTAAAAACTGTGATTGCTTGAATTGTGTAGTGAAAGGTGAACGCAGTATAGAGGCACAGTTTATCCTAATCCCTCGCTGTCTATAGACATTATTATTTCATTTACGCATTGAAAATCTGTGTGATCAAAAGTGGGAAAATCACAGTATGACAGGAATATTTCATTTGAATTGTTTTCACTGTTACAACCAGTTCTCAGAATAAATTTTTTGACAGCCCCCAACTTTAGCAGTAGAAAAAGTAATGTTTTATGTAAAAAACCAACCAAACAAACAAATAAACAAACAAAACAAACCAACAAACCTTAATGTAGATATTTTCCGTAGACAGAAAAATATAAACTAACCCATACTTTTCCTGCAGTGGCCACTACGGTGTATAACAGTGGAGAAGGATACAGACTTGAGTCAGACTGTCTGGTTTTAAACACTGGCTTTTCTACTTACCAGCTGTGTGATCCTAGACAAGATGCTTAACCTTCTTTTTTAAAAGATTTTTAATTAATTTATTTATTTTTGAGGGAGAGAGAGCATAAGTGAGGGAAGAAGCAGAGGTAGAAGCAGAATCCCTGCTGAGCAGGGAGCCTGATTCGGGACTTGATCCTGGAACCATATGGGACTAGATCCTAGGACCCCGGGATCATGACCTGAGCAGACGGCAGCCGCTTAACCAACTGAGCCACCCAGACATCCAAGATGCTTAACCTTCTTATGCTTTAGTGTCTTTGTCTGTGAAATAGGAAAACAGTTTTGTCTCACAGACCTGATGTGAAGGTGGAAATGAGTTAATGCATGTATTAATACATGCTTAAACTGGGCCTGTTGCATGGGATGTACTCAGTGAGTTGTAGTTGTCACCAGGGTGAAAAAAGATTAGTTAGGGGGCGCCTGGGTGGCTCAGTTGTTGGGCGTCTGCCTTCAGCTCAGGTCATGATCCTGGAGTCCCAGGATCGAGTCCCGCATCAGGCTCCCTGCTCGGCGGGAAGCCTGCTTCTCCCTCTCCCACTCCCCCTGCTTGTGTTCCCTCTCTCGCTGTGTCTCTGTCAAATAAATAAATAAAGTCTTTAAAAAAAAAAAAAAAGATTAGTTAGGCTCTGTGCATCACCAATAATGGGTCTGAGCATATATCTGAATGTCAAATTTACACATACTTGATAGCTACCTTAAAAAGGTACTAGGAATAAAAATGCAAAATGCCATCCATTTGAGTGTGACATTTACAATTTAGGTTTTTTCCTGGTATACTTATGTATGTATGTATGTATGTATACATTACTATATATATATAGTAATGTATTAGTAAGGGCCAAGTGGTAGTATAGTAGGCGAATGGTAAGATATAGCAAGTAAATGGCATGTGGTCTAGGGAAATATTTTGGATAAAAACTAAACTACATTGCAAGGGGAAAGGATATTAGCATTAAATTGGCAATAACCATTATAGGCAATTTCCCCCCCCATACTGTTTCATTTCTTTATCTTTCAAAATCCATAAAATAGGTATGTATTAACCCCATTTTACTAATGTTAGAACAAAAGCTCACAGAGTTTGACTTCAACAATTCTCCAAGGCTATTTAGGGGTAGAGCTAGGGGTCGGTCAGGTCCTCGCCATTTGATTTCAAAGCCCATGGCCTCTCCATTGCATTTGTCTGCCTCCCAGAAGTGATCTGTATACCACTGATCAAATTTAGTACAAAAATCATAGCTGATCCATAAAACAAAATTTCCCCAGTTTTTCAATATCTTGTAATTGAACGAGTTTCATTTCTTTCCATACTTTCCCATTGCATTTCATTTTAATAAGCATTTGCTACTAAAACACATACTGAAATGACCTGTAACTTTGGGGTTAACAGTGGAAAAAGTGCTTACCTTGGGTTGGTTCTATCTTTGTCATAAACTAGTCAATTCACTTTGGAGCCAGCCGTTTCACAGTGTGGAAGTTCCTCTTTTCATTTGTATAATGGAGGAAAAGTACTAGGTGATCTTGAATGTCTGTTTATTCCATCTCTTTCAATGCTCTATGATACTGAGAAATCCTCTCTACTAACTCCACCCTTTGATACTTAACTCCATTGAAATACTTCTTCTCTTCAAGACTCCTGACTCTATCTCCTCCAGGAAGTTTTCTTTGATCATTTCAACTGGAAGTGCTCATTCCCTCTTAGAATCCTTACTCCTCTTTGGCATTCCCATGTAGCCTGCAATATATTCTAGATACAGAATTATCTTCTCTACCATGTGGTGATTGTAAATCTATATCGCATTTTCCCGAAGGGCCAGAAGTTCAAATACGGACCACTTTCATAGGGAACTGATTTCCTAGTTGGGATACTCCAACTCCTTGAAAATTCCCAGGACTTTAAAAAGGACTATAGATGCAGGATTTTGTTTTTACAAACCCATATTCAGTTTTTTAAGGTCCTATAAATATTCCTAATCTCTGAATCTGGGATGTCCTAATTTTTCTTTTCCATATTTTCCACAGGATTATTTTACAAATGCAAATAGAGAGTTGAAAAAAGATGCTCAGCAAGATTACCACCTGGAGTATGCCATGGAAAATAGTACCCACACAGTAGTTGAATTTACCAGAGAACTGCATACCTGTGACATGAATGATAAGAGTATAACGGTAAGGAGTCGACGAGAGAATACATACATGAATATGTTGTTCGTTTACAGTTGTGAAACACTTTGTAGAATGAAAGGAACAAATATTTACCTTTGAAAACAAAGTCACACAGTCTGTTTTAGGATATCTTTGAAATCTTTTTAGAAGCCACAAAAATCTAAGACTATATATTTCAAGAAAGGCAATTTTTGTGTGACTCTCACATTTTCAAGGGCCATTTAAAATGAGTATGATTTTATCTGTAAGATTTCCAGCTTTTTCTCTATAAAGTTTGAGAATACACAATAGATAAAGGTTGGAAAAAATGTATTACACAAGAAGGAATGATGATACCGAATATCAGGGTATAATTCATCTGATTTGTGACTGGTTCATTTTTGTAAATTTCTAAAATTGAGATGAATAGTAGATTGATTAAAATTGCCTACTGACATGTTATACAAGATTTCTTATTGTCAGACTTCATGCAAACATTAATATCTTTATGCATATGCAAATTAAATATTTAGACGGTATATAATTCATGTGGTACTTGGGAAGTTTCCATGAATTTCTTGGATCGATTTTATTTTGTATAGATCAATCAAATTATCTTTTTTATTTGATAAATCAAAGCTTTAAAAATAGGAATGTAAAAATCTGAAGCAGTTTTGATTAACATTCAGCATAAAGAGTAAAAGAGGAAGGAAAAAAACACATGCAAAGACATGGATCACCTTTTATGTAATATACAGTGCAATTATACTTTAATTGGAAAAATAATTATAGTCATTTGACTTATTAAGAAAGAATATAGCTTTTAAAGTAAATAGCTTTTGCTTTATTATTTATTTTCAAAGTTCTTATTACAAAGATCTGGCAGACACCTTGATCTGTGGGAGGACTGAACAACTTCTTTATAACTCAGCAAGCCCTCCCCCTGCTCCAGCATCCCTTGGGCAATCTCTCTTGCTTCCTAAATGGAAACCAATTTCACCTGACAGTACTTTCCCTAGTTGGGATACCCTAGTCCCTTGGAAATTCCGAGGATTCATAAATGACTGAAGCTAGATTCTAGGATAATAAACCCCAAATCAGAAATTCCTCCTGTGTTTGCACTTTCTGTCAATTCATACACGTCACTGGGCTAGTGCTTGGGAAAAATCTATTATGAACGTAAAGGTGCTGACCTGGAAAGTCATTTTAATTTTCATTCTGCTTATTTTTTTTCCCTAAAATGTTGCATAGCATTAAAACAGGTTTTAATTTTCTAGAATCCTTGTGTCTTAACAAGAATATTTGCTTGGTAACTGTGAGTTGCTAGTTTGCAGACCTAGCGTGACAATGATTTACTGCTGCCATGTGCACGAAAGCATAACCACCGGGTCCGTTGCTCTTTGCTCTCTCTTGGAAGACATAATCTTGCATGCTGAGAGAGATCGTCTCTTCCAGAAAGAAACTCGTCTATTTGGATACTTAATGATTTAATCAAATTGACACAATTAATGCTAGAGACCATACTGAGGGCTCCAAATGTCATTATTCTCTTTTCTTCACATCTCTATCCGGCTTTCAGTAGAGTTCTCTAAACTCAGCTCAGTGGTAAGGATGGTGCTCTCATGAGACATAATGATGCCCCTGTCTGATCACCAGGAGAGCACTGTGAGAGTGATCTGGGCTTACCATCATGAAGATGTGGGCGAAGCCGGCCCCAAGTACCATGACTCCAATCGTGGCACTAAGAGTCTACGGCTGTTGAATCCGGAGAAAACCACCGTGTTGTCTACAGCCATACCATACTTTGACCTGGTGAATCAGGACGTAAGTTTTTTCAGGTTTTTATGATTGGAAGGGTGGGTTTCTTGAAAGCATGTGAGAGTTTTTACTTACATGCTGTTTAACCGTGTGACTTTGTGTCCCCCTCCCCTTTTTATTAAGACAGGTCCCCATCCCAAACAAAGGTACGACCTATTGGTGCCAAATGTTTAAAATCCCTGTGTTCCAGGAAAAGCATCATGTAATAAAGGTATGTGACTCACTCACAGGCTAAATTTAATGTGTATGAATGGAGGAAAAATTGTTATTAAAATGAAAATGACTAAAAGAATAGAAATGATTTTCAAGTATGTGAAAGTTATTTCAAGAACAAAGAACTGGCTTATCTGACTCATACCCTATCTTAGGAGTCACTGAATTTAGAGAGAAATCTTGGATTATAGCTAGGATTTTTGGTTTTTGTCTCCTGATTTTACTTTTTAAGGTAAAAGTTTTGGGATGCATTTGAACATTGCTAGTTATTTCTTTTTTCTTTTTTAAAAAAGATTTTATTTATTTATTTTAGAGAGAGAAAGAGAGCACGCATGCGTGCATGTGCACACAGGGTGGGGCAGGGAGGAGCAGCGGGGAGGGAAAGGGAGGGGAAAAGAATCTCAAGCCAACTCCATGCTCGATGGAGAGCCTGATGGCGGGCTCAGTCTCTCGACCCTGAGATCATGACCTGAGCCAAAATCAAGTCAGGCTCTTAACCAGGTGAGCCACCCAGGCGCCCCAACACTAGTTATTTCTTAGGCAACACTGTAGAGTTGGAATTGCTGGAGTTGCCATTTAAATAATACATTTGCATATCAATAAATTATATACAGGAAGATTACATTCCCCACCACTATTGTTTGAAAATGTCTGCTTCATTGTAAATATTGGATGTTGTCAAAAAAACATTTTTATAGTGAGTTTTTGAAAATAGGAAAACAGGAAGATTAGTGGATTCCCACAGAATTAAAAAATTCAGAATTGGGTAAGAAAGAAGCCCTGTTTGCCTGTGGCCTATAATTCCCTCCCATCTCTACCAGGAATAGTGTCCCAAAACTTTTGCATCTAGTTAGTGAATGAACAAGTATTTTTAAGGAATTACGTGTGCTTGGCTCTGTGCTAGAAACTGTTTGGTAGTTCCACAGAGGCTGAATATATAATCCATGCGTTCAAAGAACCTATAGTAAGAATGTAGGAAAAGTATCCTAGACACAGGAAAGAATAAGAATGCAATCATGCATACAAGTACTCTAAACATTCAGAAGGCCGACGTCATCAGCGTTTTGTCAGCCCCCAGACTATTTAACAAAGCAGTGTGGATGTGAGAAAGGAGCAAACTTGTAGATACTAGAATCCCGAAGGAAGTACATAGATCGACTCACAGGTTGTCTCTTGAGCTAACTACGTGCTCTCAGGTAAGTAGCTCTGGGGTAATGCCCTGGCTTCTTCGTCTGTAAAAGGTGGTCCATCATAACACTGTCCCTACTGACCTCAAAACATTTTGGCAGAGATGGAAACACTGAGTACATTCTATAAAGTGACTTAAATTTGTTAATCTCTAATATATTTGTCCAGAGGCACAGAGCTGCCTTTTATTCACACACATGATTCATAACTACTTACACAGACAAGAGGAACAGTTTGAGGGAATGTTTATTGAATTATTAAGTAGTTCTAAATATTTGTAGAGTATTTCTGTAATCAGAAGACTTACCAACAATGAGACTTCGAATGAACCACTTATCTCTGTGCAATGTTATTTTCTGTTTCTCACATGTGCCTTAATACCATGCCTAAGGCCTTCCCTTATGCCAGTGAAAAGCCTTTATCAGGGAAGTGAATGGTGTATTTATATATACTATGTGTCATGTAGTACTGTGTGTCATTTACAGTAAGTTTAATGGGAACTCAGCTTACGGGACAAATGTAAAAAACTACAGAGTCAGAAATGAAAGCGAATGTTTCACAAAATGGGTCCCTGGTTCATTTTTCAGCAAATGTTAGTTGATAGGATATGATGTCCTTAACCACTTATATCAATGCATTTTTATTCTTCATTGTTATTAATGTTAATAATTAAGTCAAATGAAAAAAAAATATTTGCTCTTAAGGGGAGTCAGTATATGTCCTAACTCTCTATGTAGGACATTTACTTGGTATCCTATCTAAGAATTTTCCATTGCATGCTTATCATAGTAATAGTCAGATATGTGGGCATGTATTAAGTATTTGGAGTTCTATTAAACGATGAAAGTTCTTTACTCCTCGCAAGAGGGGATTTGAGGGAGACACGTGTGGTTATACAAAATCTGGGTGCTGCAAAGGAGAGGGGTGGTGGCTGGAATTTAAAATTCTATTATTACTTAAGAATACCACTTATAGAATAGATTCCTGAGCTTGTTGTTAAACCCTAAAATGTTTTAAAAGTCGTTAAGTATTATGAAACATGTTACTCAGAAATGAACCTAAGTAGGATAATATACAAAAAGAGAAGGAGTACCTGGCTGGCTGAGTCGGTAGAGCATGTGACTCTTGATCTCTGGGTTGTGAGTTCAAGCCCCACGTTCGGTGTAGAGATTACTTAAAAATAAAATGTTTAAGAGGAAAAAACCAGAGAAGAGAAAGCTTTACTTAGAAAATAAATTCAAAATATTTAGGTTATAAAAATAGGGGCACCTGGATGGCTCAGTTGGTTAAGCGACTGATTTCGGCTCAGGTCATGATCTCAGGTTCCTGGGATCAAGCCCTGCCTCGGTTCCCTGCTCAGCAGGGAGTCAACTTGAGGATTCTTTCTCTCCCTCTGCCCCTCCCCCAACTTGCTCTCTCTCTCTCTCTCTCTCTCTCTCTCAAATAAATAAATAAAACTTTAAAAATAAAGATTGTAAAAATAATTCAGGTTTTATATGTTTTGAGACAGTCTTAAAAAAGTTTTAATTTGCAGCTTATGCCAGTTTACAATAAAATTTTAATACGTTTTCTACAGTAGAATTCATAGATCTAAAACTTACTGTAAGAAATTACCTAATTTCCATCCTCTTTTCCTTAGCAGAGATGATTTCTAGTAACTTAAGAAAAATATATCTTCTTTTCATAGAATCAAAGACTCCTGTGTTTTGGCTATTGTGGACATTGCTGCTATAAACATTGGGGTGCAGGTGCCCCTTCGGATCCCTACATTTGTATCTTTGGGGTAAATACCCAGTAGTGCAATTGCTAGGTTATAGGGTAGCTCTATTTTCAAAAAAAAAAATAAAAAAAAAACAAAGACTCCTGTGTTTTGAAAAGCCATGAGCTAGGTTTGTCCTTATTCCTTATTTTGTGTCCCACAAATCACTGGATCAAAAAGCCTCAGTTCTTCTCTGATACAAAAAACAAAAAGTACTTTCTCAGAAAAAAGAACATTGCTTTTATATTGTATTATATTATGTGTCATTTGCAGCGAGTTTTAAGAACATATTGATAACAGTAATATTGTGACAAATCAATTTTGTTGTCTGGACTCTTATTTCAAACAAAGAAAAGTGTGTAATTGCACTTTAAATGTTAATAGTACTGCCCAATATACATTTCATAGTTGTAATAACTATAAAACTAAGCAGATAAATAAAATATATCAGTGGCTGTTTATGAATATATTTAATGTAAATGATGAAAATTAAAAATATTAATTACATTTTAATTCAAATTTTAATCATGTAATGATGTATGAAATAAAGTAAATAGTTTCTAAAATTATAAACTAACAAAGGTAAATAATTTCTAGAAGTATAAATGAACAAAGGTCAATAATTTCATCTGCAGGAGTAATGGGATTGTGATAAAAATTATTGGTGGTTTCAATTCACCTGTGATTCCAATTTATTGATTTGTGTTTTGATTTTTGTGAAAAATGTTTAAAATTGTGATTTGAAAATATTTGTATTGTCAGATGACAGCATATCACACTAGAAGACAGATAAGGAGATTTTACAAAGAAAACTCTTAGTAATTTATATTAAAACCACATTTCTCATGTGAGACCACCTCTGTGACTCTCGAGACCCACTGTCCAGCCCATGTTGCCTTATTTGAATATGACCCTATTTAAGCTTTGCCAAATAAGTAACTTTATCTTAAATTTAAATTTTTGGGAGAAAGTGATTCTTTCTACTCTCTTTAGTCAATAGTGATATCATAATCACCTGATAGTAACAATTGGATATGCTCTACTAGAAGCTGGGGTTATCAGTTGGTTTAACACACTGGTTTTGGGGTCTTTTTTTGTTTTTGTTTTTGTTTTTTTGGAGCTTTTATTGCCAGAGAATTCTCCCATTGATAAACGGAACTCCTAACTCCTCCATTTAAACATGATCTATCTTATTTGATTTAATAAATAATTGTTGATGGCCTATTATGTTAAAGAGGAGAAAAAAGAAAAACAGCCAGGCTGACTCATCATCCTGTAGCCGTCTGGCCTTAAAGGCCCACCTTTTTAATAGGGTGGCAGTAAGCCTCGTGGTCTCGTAGGTGGGTTCTGTGCTATGATGGGCAAAATCTGGACGCTTTCATTCCATTATTAGTCATTTATCCATGGGAAAGTTATTTGTCACCAACAGCTCCATTTTATCATTTAAATTCTAATGGTACCTTCCTTATGGGATTATTTGGACTGAAAGTTATGTAGCAGTTAAAAAATTTTTATTACCACTTAGCACAGTATCTGACACATAGAAAACTCTTAACAAACCCAACTATTATCAGGCCTTTTTAAATTTTTTTTTTCAATGTTGCTGTCTGAATGACTTCTCACTGAAAACTGCTGTTTGGTGAGGAGACCCAGAAAAGGAAAGAGCGTCATGCTAAAAAGTTGACCATTGCTGAGTGTTAAGAGAGGATTACCTTTACTTCTTGTGTGACCTCTGGCAAATTATTTACTTCCTTGTGCCTCAGTTTTCTCATCTGGAGAATAGGCATAATAGGTCTCACCTAATAGGTGAGTGAATTAAAGGAATTTATCATAGGTATTTAGAACAATGCCTGGCACATTGTGTTTGTTAAATAAGTAACTAAATAAAATTATGTAGATCACTAGCAATACACAATTGCTAATCTGTCAATCATCTTGTTTGGTTTCTGGGTTGCTGAGGGATCCCAAACCAGTCAACCCTTTCTAAACAGTCAGAATTCCAAATAAAACCCAGATTGTCCTTCATTTCATTTAGGGAAGCCACCTTGAAA